CCATTTACTGAGCTAACACGCAGCCTGTACAATATACACTATGCTCTCTTATATTCAAGTGTATACAAGTGCTACCTATTCACATTTCGCCTACATGAAAGACATTATCTAGATTAACCTAACATTAGACCGAACGCTGTTAAAAAAATTCTAATTAAATTATCAAGAGTTAAATCAAGGACTAGTATTTTGTAAACACATATTATACAACTATAGCTTGACCAACCCACTTACTTGTGGATGGATGATTAAAGTTTAATTTTGTATCTCTTATTACAGCTGTAATAAGAAACGTCTTTGTTCGGAGTGGTTTATATTTGGACCAATTATTGTTAGCGCAATGTTTAAGAGTTTAAGCTTAGTCGCAGATTGCAGTTCAATGCGACTCCCTAGATATCATGGAACACGTCGTGTGTCTCCCAACCACCCCCTCCCTTCGTGTACATTTATAGACATCGGGGAAATCATTTACGGAAATTTTTTTTCCTTGAGGACTATCGGTTCTTTCCGATTACGCAACTGCGGATATTCTTGTTTTACAATACAAAATCTAGTATAGTTCTTCTATATTCTAGAGGATAATAGTAATTATAGAATATTTAAAATAAATTAAAAAACTTTTTATTAGGCGTAAATCTTCACACAGTATGCATATAATAAATAAATAAATAAGTAGCTCTAGAAAGGCTGGATATCTCTTCACTGTGCAAGGGAGATCACTAGGTAATTTAATCAAGTTATTTTCATGACTGTTATAGGGGTTATCTTTACATTCATTATTATGTTTTTTTAATATTAAGGTATATAGTATATAGCAGGGGTCTCCAAACTTTTCAGCCCGAGGGCCGCATTAGCTATCAAATATAAGTTCGGGCGCCCCTGAAGAATGCCTCTTAACGGAACTTTGATGCAAATGTGTAATATTAGGAAAGTCTTCCATGGGCAAATACTTATAAAACCATCCCGCCCCTGTTTGAACTTATCTTTAAGGAGGTCATTTGCTGGGCAACTGGCCACATTTGCTTCAATGGTTTTTGCACCCAATGCTACATTTTTTATTTTGTTTTGAATTTTGCCTCAGCCACCTCCAACAAACGTTTTTTTCCGTGGACAAAAAGATCTCCGAGGGCCAGAGGAGAGGACCTCGCGGGCTGTAGTTTGGAGACCCCTGGTATATAGTATAGACTTAGACCTATAGGCCGGCTTGGTCGGATGTTAGTAGAGCATACGACTGCTACGCCGAAAGTCTTGAGTTCGAATCCAGGGTTCGTTTCAGTTAAACGTACGTGATGGTCATATTGGGGGACATCTATTTATGACGTCCACAAAAACTTTGAATTTTAGACCACCCACCTCCTCCCCCCATCCACTTTTGACCAACACCCCCCACCCCTAGCCTCATGTGGACGTCCAAAAAATGTATAACTTACTGCCAATTTACTAATTTCATTACATGTATTGTGTCTCTTGCAATGCTATAGCATAGTAGGCCCTTATATATTTTATAATCATATTAAATTACTAAGTACAAATATAGCCTTATGGATAATTTAGGAAGTCCAATAAAATGTTGCTCATATTACATGTGTCTGGATAATAACTTATCTTTCTCATGTCCATGGAACAACGCCGACCTACACAACAGCATTACATTGACGTCGAGGGTTCCAATAAAATGTTGCTTAAATTTCATTCAGTAACATCTCTTACCAGGCCTAAGTATTAAAAGTAAAGCCCAGAAATTGTACAAAGTCTGGAAAACCATTAGTTTTCGGGCTGGCTTTTTAAAAAATCAGGAAAAAGTTTATTTTAGAAATAAAACTTTTCCATGATGTCTGTTAGTTACCAGAGGCGTAGTGACCTATTCCGGCGCCAGGGGCGAAATATCAACTTTTCAATTCTATACAGCAAATAAAGCATAGAGCATTTGGATTAGTAACTAGTTATAGTTATAACCAATCAGAAGCACCAAACTTTATGTATTCTTTAATGTTGCATAGTAAACAAATATATTGTACTTACTTAAAAAACTATATAATTATATATGAAAGGAAAACCGATTAAAAAATTGTATATAATGAGGTTGGTAAAAAAGAAATATTACAGATATTAAAGAAACAAGCTATTAAGTGAAAAAGACAACAGAAAATTGACAAAATTTACATTGAGGCTAAAATTGTATCTAAAAACATAAAATATAAAAATAATTTGGGTTCAATAGTAATGTGTACATTGAGGCAAAAATTGTATCAACAGTCAAAAGTTCTCTGGGTATTATCACAGCACGTAAGTGCATAATAGAATCTTGCTGAGATATTATTTCATCCAACATGATTATCCCATCCATCCTATGATTATCTCACCCATCCTGGGATTATTCCACCCATCATTGAACTTTTCCACCCATCCTTGGATTGTCTTATCCACTCTTGGTTTATCCCACCCTTCATAGGACTATCACACTCATTCTGGGATTATCCCACTCATCATTGAACTATTCCACCCGTCTTGGGATTATCCCACCCATCATAGGATTATCCCACTCATTCTGAGATTATCCCTCCCATTATAGGACTAATCTACCCATCCTGGGATTAAACCACCCATCCTGGAACTATCCCATCAATCACGTAGACTGCATTCTATTCCACAAATCATTAACGCTATAAACTACAACTCAATGCAGTAAAAACGAGTGTGGGTTTGAAGAAAACTAAAGCATAGATAAAGATATTGATATGAATAAACATAGCAAATTTAATCTAAATTTGGTGCTATTTACAAAAAGTAAAGTACCATAACATAGCCAATAAAACAAAGCTATATTTTTAACAAAGAAATATTTAAATGCAATGTATATGAATAGAATATGCAGCTGTATATTTTGTATAAAACAGTAAAGATATATAAAAGTAAACTGTTCTGACTGTCAAAGCTGGTTAATAAATACAGCCAGTGTCATGAACAAAGCTTATGTATCCATAGTTTAAGTTATTGTGTCATTAACAGACAGCAGAGGTAGGCCTATATAATTTTAATGAGTATGCACTATTAATAATATATTTTTTTTTTATAATTTGAATACATTTTAGGTGGCTTTATAAATAATAAATATATACTTTAAAAATATAGTTATATCATTTTTATACAAATTAATAACACATTTTAAAAAAATAAATTGTGCATGATCCTACAAGTAGAACTATTAAAGCAACAAAATATGTAGTCAATGATTATTTTAAAAACTTCTTTAAAACAGGAAGGAATGTCAAATTTATTGTTTTATTCATCAATCCTAGACTTGTTCAGTACACATTTTGTGATTTTAATTCTACAAGTAATTTTTAAAAATCTTTTGAAACATTATTTTTTTATTCAGCTCACTATGCAAATATAAAAACTCCAAAAAAAAACAACCACAGAGTCCTTAAATAATCATATACAATATCCACTGCCCTTAATTTGTCATAGAAATTATGAAAGATGACAGTTGTATTAAGGTGAAAATTGTAAACAATTTTCTCAAAGCAAAAAGCAAATCATAATATTTAGCTACAACATATTTACACAAAGGAATAAAATCTTGTATAATTCAAGCAATATGAGATCTCTGTGAAGAAACAATTGAAAGCAATCAGTGGGATATGAGTATTTTTAAAAATTATTTCATATGTGCAGATATTGAGATTCTGGATTTTAAACTTGTTAAAATAATTTTTTTTTTAAAGTATGGATTTCATTACATGGATTAGAAATGGCTAGAAATTTTAAAACCATTTATTGTTGTTAATATTTTAATATTTAAGTTCATTAAGCATTCCTTGTAAAAAACAAACTGTAAAAAAGTAGTATAGCCCCAGCCTTTGCTCCAGGGCCCACACAAAATAAATCTATTATCTAACACTCAAGTGACCATATGGAATAACGCATTTCAAAAGCTATAAGGCTTAAGTATGGGGCCCACACAAAATAAATCTATTATCTAACGCTCAAGTGACCATATGAAATAATGCATTTCAAAAGCTATAAGGCTTAAGTATGGGGCCCACACAAAATAAATCTATTATCTAACGCTCAAGTGACCATATGAAATAATGCATTTCAAAAGCTATAAGGATTAAGTATGTTTCTGTTCCTTGATCAGTACAATGGTCTAAGTCTCAAGCATTTAACTATAAGTGGTGAAAAAAAATTGGTAATTGAACTTCCCATTTCCTATAGCTTGAGTTTTTACTTACAATTAAGACTAGATCTATGACCCAATGAGATGTGTGCAGTCGTCAAGTGGTGTTAAGAGAGTGGGCCATTCAAAGTAATGAACTGTTTACTTATTCAACTGTTAAGTTAGTGGGCCATTCAACCTTTTTTTTAAAGTAATGAACTGTTTACTTATTCAACAGTTAGCATCATATAAAACTTGAGTACTTGATTCCAGTATAGCTAATTTTCAATCCTAAAATTAAATCTTTTAATCACTTTTTATGTAACATAAACTAAATATTATTGTCAGATAACTCAAGAATCAAGGCAAATATCTTTTGTAGAAATATCAGCAACCATGGTACAAAATTGTTACACATAGCTCAGTGAAAATGCATATAAATCTCATCCAAAACTCAACAACAATGGTACATAAATCTAAACAACAATGATACATAAATCTCATACAAATCTCATCAACATTGATCAAGGTCATAGTTCCTTAGTAAAAATATCAAAGGTAAATAGTTGGTGTTCAGTTGTAGAAAACTTCAGCAACAAAGGCAGACAACTCTAATAACAAAGTTCAATAACAAAGTTAGATGCTATAGGAAAAATGGTACCTAGATCTCATGCAAACTGCAAGAAGATCATTTGTTGTGAATGTTGTCAAACTTATAAAAAGTATAAACTTATGATTCATATAAAACCATTGGCAGGACAATAATGTATCATACCAAATAAAATCTTAATCTCAGGGTGCCCAGATTAAAAAAAAAGAAAAAAAAATTCCAAACAGTCTAACAAGGATCTGAAGCCATGATGAACCAGTCCCATCTCTGGTTAAATAAGAGGGCAGCTCTGGTGTGTAGCGGCTTGTGGTTTCTCACCACATTCTGTTTCCTGTTTGGATTGTAGTTTCTCACCACATTCTGTTTCCTGTTTGGATTGTAGTTTCTCACCACATTCTGCTTCCTGTTTGGATTGTAGTTTCTCACCACATTCTGTTTCCTGTTTGGATTGTAGTTTCTCACCACATTCTGTTTCCTGTTTGGATTGTAGTTTCTCACCACATTCTGTTTCCTATTTGGATTGTAGTTTCTCACCACATTCTGTTTCCTGTTTGGATTGTAGTTTCTCACCACATTCTGTTTCTTGTTTGGATTGTAGTTTCTCACCACATTCTGTTTCCTGTTTGGATTGTAGTTTCTCACCACATTCTGTTTCCTGTTTGGATTGTAGTTTCTCACCACATTCTGTTTCCTGTTTGGATTGTAGTTTCTCACCACATTCTGTTTCCTGTTTGGATTGTAGTTTCTCACCACATTCTGTTTCCTATTTGGATTGTAGTTTCTCACCACATTCTGTTTCCTGTTTGGATTGTAGTTTCTCACCACATTCTGTTTCCTGTTTGGATTGTAGTTTCTCACCACATTCTGTTTCCTGTTTGGATTGTAGTTTCTCACCACATTCTGTTTCCTGTTTGGATTGTAGTTTCTCAACACATTCTGTTTTCTGTTTGGATTGTAGTTTCTCACCACATTCTGTTTTCTGTTTGGATTGTAGTTTCTCACCACATTCTGTTTCCTGTTTGGATTGAGGTCCCTTGGCCACTGTCTCTAGATGGTCCTTCACTATCTATTGTGGAATCCATTGCATCATTTGTGTAACATCCGTTTGCACTTGAATTGGTCTGTACAAATTTTATTTTATATATATATATATATATATATATATATACATATATATATATATATATTACATTATACATGTATATGATATGAAATGATTACACATACAAGAAATGCAAAATAGTGTGTGTATGAAATGACTTTGTTTTGGTTGAAATACAGATGTCTATCTATATGTTTAGTCTATTTAAGGTCAAAGCATTTGTTTATGTAGCAGTGGAACATTCCTACTTACAGTGAAGATTTCTGGTATTTGACCAGGACTTCCTTCATTGAGCTTGAAAGCCCTCTTTCTCCGGATCTGGCATATTCTCAAAACACTGAAAGACAAAAAAGACAAGAATTTAAAAGTTCAACCATTATCTGACATCTGTTGTGGAAGGATTTTATATTAATACAAAGTTGTGACTATGTGACGAGGTTGTGACTATGTGACGAGGTTGTGACTATGTGACAAGGTTCATAAGGATGTGAAGTTATAGATTAGGATCTTGTTGCTGGGGGAAGTAGGTTAGGGCAGTCTGCGTCTTGTTGTGCAATGGTGTGGGGGTATTTGTACCGTCATCGCAAATTTTTTCAACTGTTTGATATGTTGAGTTATATAGTTATATAACAGTTATATAATTTGACAGCACATTTATTACTTGATTATAAAAATTTAATTCTGAACATTTAAACAGCTCACTCTTGGTTCAAAATAAATTTTATTATATCATTGTATCTGTTATAAGTAGGCCTATAGTTTAATTATATTTTGGCAGTTATTATATTATTCATTATGACTAAACCAAATAAAAACAAAAACAAATTTTTCAAAGTTTTTACAAAATTTCTGTTTTATAAAAAAAAAAAAAATGACAACTAAGTTTACTAAGTATATACTTGCCAACAACTGAATGGCTATAATCTATTTGTTCTTTTTAAAAATGTAGTACCCATAATACTTACTAAATGAACAAACTGACTACAACTATCCCAAAGGCAGTCAGGACACATATAAGAATGATGGAAGATGTTGTGAGAAGATCGTCTGTTGGGGGGAGAAAGAAAAAATTGCTTGAAATCTGGAGCAAAACATATTACAACTTTACAACATAGTTATGTTCATTTTGAAAATATATTTGTGTAATTTAATTATTACTTTCTCTCATAATTGGCTATAGCAGTGATTTTAAGGCAAGCAGACCTCAACAGCTTGAAGAGGTTAGAAATGTTTTGGGTGCCAGCCAAGCTACTGCTCCCTCCGCCAACATTACACCTCCCAGGTTAGATGTGGGGCAATCCAATGAGAAGTGAAACTATAGCCTCAAGTTCATATCATAGCAAGCGCATTTAACAATGTATCTCTACCTTGGTTAAAATTATGCTATTGTTACTCTCAATAATAATGTTTAGGTGTTAACTGACTGTAAGTATATTTTCTTACCTGTAACCTCAGATTCGACCTGATAGTTGGTGAACAAGTTGAAACCATCAGACCGTGTCAACTGGACACAGACAAATTTTAAACCAATTGGAAGTGGCATCTCGTTAGGTGAAAAAATTAAATTGGTTAAATTTCCCAGCCAAGTCACTATAAGAAAAAATTATTCTCATTATTGATAAGCCTATATCATTAATAAGTATCATATTATATAATCAGACTTTCTTTTACATTCTAAATAAATATGTTAAAAAGTAGGTTTCTTTCAGGCATTTTGCTGTCACGGGGGGGGGGGAGTGGACATAAAAAGGTTAAGGTATAAAATGGTTAAGGTAGGCCTATTTTTTCTATATATACATTATAATTTATCTAGTTTGTTTAACCCCACACCCTCCCACACTAAAGTTGAAGGAGTCATGACATTTTTTTATTGAAAACTTGAATTTTTTCTCATCTCCCTAAATAAAACTGACTCCATAAAGTTAGTCTTATATCTCTTATTAAGAGTGGGGTGATGATGTATTATTGAGAGAGGAGGGGGTTAAATTATCCTTATTGATTGTTGTGAGTGATGATCTGCCTACTCTAGTGATAGTTAACAACCTACAACTTTACACTGCCTGCAGATGTAACACATTCACATGTAGAACAGTTTTCACTATACAACCTACAACTTTACACTGCTGCAGATGTAATACTTACATTCACTAGTAGAACAATTTTCACTACCAGATGAGAACAGGACAAATGAACGGATCAAAAACTGCTTGGCTTTATCCGTATTACACAGCTGTTTCATCCGCAGGATCTGTTTGCCATCTGCATCACGCCTGCTCAGTAGGGCTGTTGCCTCCTCTAACAGTAGACAGAAGACATGTTTTATTCCACAAAGTTGGCAGTAACTAACAAATAAACAAGAGAAAAAATATAACAGCTGAGTAGAGTAGCTATGTTAAAATACATGGGAAGTGAGTTCAGCATTTTGTGAGTTAAATCTTGATGTTCAATATTATCATCACATGGTGCATCATCCTTAATCCTGTTAAAGTAAAATTAATTTTAACTGAATATTTGGTCATTTTTTAATAATGACCTTAGCTAAAATATATGAAAAGCAAATAATTTTTGTATTTGCTAAAAAGTAATTAAAAATAAAAACTCCACACATAGATTTTATAAGTACATTTTTTAAAATTTGAAGTTGTATGCTCAATCTATTTGCAACAACTTTGTTGTCTTCATAGATACAAGTATTTGGATGTGTGTTTATCGATTAAAACATGTATAGATTTAATAGTACAATAGCAAATATTTAATTTATACTGAGCCATTTTTGTGTGTGTGTTTTACTTGCTTAATGCCTCACTATTTACAATTGTACATATTATAATATAATACATTTAAAAAAGCTACAAGATTTAGAAAAAACCTTTCCCATAAAATTTGAAAATGATTTCAACTATGTTTCAACATACTTAAGCCTATATATAGAAGTTAATGATTTCAAGTAATTATGTCTAAAAATACTTAGATCAATAAAAGTTAATATTTCAACTAATTATGTCGTAACATTATACTTAGACCAATAAAATTGAATAATAATTTGAACTAGTTATGTCTCAACATTATACTTCGACCAATAAAAGTGAATAATAATTTGAACTAATTATGTCTCAACATACCTAAGCTACTGTCAAACAAGTAGTTAGCAGCAGCCATCCCCATCCAAGATCCATTCACTTTAACTGAGATAAAAACTTTCTGGGTGCCACCAACTGGCCGTGGTAGGACTGACCTCTTGGAATTAGAAGTCTGCGATACTGCACGTCGTTTCCTGGTTTCTGGTCGGTAATCAAACAACTGGGGAATGTCAACTTGGGGTGGATATTCATTCATGGTTACAGTGGCATTGACTTTACTCGTCTGAATGATGCTTGTGTTATCAAATAAATCATGGACTTGAACTTGTGTCTGATATATCAGACTTCCTGTTGCATGTTGGGTTAAATTGATTTCAAATTTCATTGGCTGTCCATTTTCAGAGTCTGGCCTGGTCATTATTCTAGTTGTAGGGTAATCCTAAGATAATTTAAAAATGAAGAATATGTTACTGTAAGAAAATTTTAGACAAGATTTTAATATTTTTGAGGAGACATAATGGATGACCTCAAACAACAACACACAGCGTGAATGAAAGAAATGCATCAGAAACATCTTTACACTAGAACAATGCAATAAAATGTTTTACATTCCAATCATTCACACAGGCTAGAAAATAATATAAAAGATGAAGTAAAATCAGATGAACTCACCAGGCAAATTTCCTTCTGGAGTGTGTTGGTTGAAACTTGACACCAATGGACGGCCACTTGCTCAAACTTGCTCACACTTGTTCCATTCAGATAGACAAACATCATGGACTCGTTCACATACTCAACCACAGACTCAAGCAAACTGGCACCTGGATAAAGTTGTTTTAAAAATCTCTTTTATAAGTCTGCTAGCTCTATTGTTCTAATGTTGGTAATGTTTGGTGTTTCTGTCAGACACTTTTACTTTTTTTTGTTGGAGGGTGTGTGTGTGGGAGGGGGGGGGGGGCGGGCACGGATAGTATTTACAGTACACTATATATTTTCTATATAAATTAAATTTTTTTTTCTTTTGAAGAGATGCCTGAAAGAAACTCTGGTACTACAACACAGAGTTAGTTTAAGTTCAGGAAAAGAATAGTCTCCCAAAATAAAATAACTAATTAAAAAAAAAAACAGTTTCTCAACTAAATAACATAGAAGCTCATACCTTGAGCAGCAGGAATGTGAATCTGAGAAAAATTTTCTGATTTTCCAATTTCATTAACTGCCCATAGTTTCACCACAAGAGCATCTTGGGGAAGTCCTGAGCTAATAAATAAGTAACTTGTCTCTATATTTTGGACAGTAGAGTTATAGCCCTTCGTTGAAGAAATCTGGAGTTCATAGGTCAGATTAATTCCTCCAGCACACTCATGGGGCAGGGGCTGAAAAGGTGAAGGTAAAATATGTTAATAACAAGACATTCATAAAATGTTATTGTTTATGTTAATAACAAGACATTCATAAAATGTTATTGTTTATGTTAATAACAAGACATTCATAAAATGTTATTGTTTATGTTAATAACAAGACATTCACAAAATGTTATTGTTTATGTTAATAACAAGACATTCACAAAATGTTATTTTTTATGTTAATAACAAGACATTCACAAAATGTTATTTTTTATGTTAATAACAACAATAATAAATGTTATTGTTAAGCAACATTGGTCTATGAACAACCCCCCCCCCCCCCCACTCTACTGACAAAATAAAATTTATGGAAGAAAAAAATGAATGTAATTATAACCTATATATAACAGTATTCAAAGAGTATCAAAAAAGTTGGGGGGATTTTTTATACCAGTGTCTGATAATAGAATTTTATTAAAAAGAAGTATTAGCTTACTGGTAAACTAAAATATACACATGGCTTGCTAATGTCAATGCTAACCCTATCCCTAACCCCAACCTTAGTCCTACCATATGACTAAACCATAATTTCTAACCATAAAACTAGTAGAGATTACAATAATACTAACAACCAAACACAATTATTTTTGGAAGAGTCTATTATCAGACATCTGTATCTTCAAACATCCAAAAGGGGTAACAAAAAACCAGAGTGATTTTATAATGATGTTAATTTGAATATCTATTGGACCTGCATACATTTAGAGATATAGGTTTGAAACACCCTTAAGAATCCAACACAGATTTATAAACAAAACAAAATGATTCTAGGTACAGCTCTCTAATTGCATGCCAAAGGAGCTTTAAATAAACCTGTTAGTGCGTTAAAACTTTGAACTTTCAATAAACCTATTAGTGTGTTGACACTTTGAACTTTCAATAAACCTATTAGAGTGTTGAAACTTTGAACTTTCAATAAACCTATTAGTGTGTTGAAACTTTGAACTTTCAATAAACCTATTAGAGTGTTGAAACTTTGAACTTTCAATAAACCTATTAGTGTGTTGACACTTTGAACTTTCAATAAACCTATTAGTGTGTTGAAACTTTGAACTTTCAATAAACCTATTATAAGTGTGTTGAAACTTTGAACTTTCAATAAACCTATTAGTGTGTTGACACTTTGAACTTTCAATAAACCTATTAGTGTGTTGAAACTTTGAACTTTCAATAAACCTATTATAAGTGTGTTAAAACTTTGAACTTTCAATAAACCTATTAGTGTGTTGAAACTTTGAACTTTCAATAAACCTATTAGTGTGTTGAAACTTTGAACTTTCAATAAACCTATTATAAGTGTGTTGAAACTTTGAACTTTCAATAAACCTATTAGTGTGTTGAAACTTTGAACTTTCAATAAACCTATTAGTGTGTTGAAACTTTGAACTTTAAATAAACCTATTATAAGTGTGTTAAAACTTTGAACTTTCAATAAACCTATTAGTGTGTTGAAACTTTGAACTTTCAATAAACCTATTAGTGTGTTGAAACTTTGAACTTTCAATAAACCTATTATAAGTGTGTTGAAACTTTGAACTTTCAATAAACCTATTAGTGTGTTGAAACTTTGAACTTTCAATAAACCTATTAGTGTGTTGACACTTTGAACTTTCAATAAACCTATTAGTGTGTTGAAACTTTGAACTTTCAATAAACCTATTAGTGTGTTGAAACTTTGAACTTTCAATAAACCTATTATATTTAGTGTGTTGTAACTTTGAACTTTAAATAAACCTATTAGTGTGTTGTAACTTTGAACTTTCAATAAACCTATTAGTGTGTTGTAACTTTGAACTTTCAATAAACCTATTAGTGTGTTGAAACTTTGAACTTTCAATAAACCTATTAGTGTGTTGACACTTTGAACTTTCAATAAACCTATTAGTGTGTTGAAACTTTGAACTTTCAATAAACCTATTAGTGTGTTAAAACTTTGAACTTTCAATAAACCTATTAGTGTGTTGAAACTTTGAACTTTCAATAAACCTATTATAAGTGTGTTGAAACTTTGAACTTTCAATAAACCTATTAGTGTGTTGACACTTTGAACTTTCAATAAACCTATTAGTGTGTTGACACTTTGAACTTTCAATAAACCTATTATAAGTGTGTTGAAACTTTGAACTTTCAATAAACCTATTATAAGTGTGTTGAAACTTTGAACTTTCAATAAGCCTATTATAAGTGTGTTGAAACTTTGAACTTTCAATAAACCTATTAGTGTGTTGAAACTTTGAACTTTCAATAAACCTATTATAAGTGTGTTGAAACTTTGAACTTTCAATAAACCTATTATAAGTGTGTTGAAACTTTGAACTTTCAATAAACCTATTAGTGTGTTGACACTTTGAACTTTAAATAAACCTGTTAGTGCGTTAAAACTTTGAACTTTCAATAAACCTATTAGTGTGTTGACACTTTGAACTTTCAATAAACCTATTAGAGTGTTGACACTTTGAACTTTCAATAAACCTATTAGTGTGTTGACACTTTGAACTTTCAATAAACCTATTAGTGTGTTGACACTTTGAACTTTCAAAAAACCTTTTAGTGTGTTAAAACTTTGAACTTTCAATAAACCTATTAGTGTGTTGTAACTTTGAACTTTAAATAAACCTATTAGAGTGTTGACACTTTGAACTTTCAATAAACCTATTAGTGTGTTGACACTTTGAACTTTCAATAAACCTATTAGTGTGTTGACACTTTGAACTTTCAATAAACCTATTAGTGTGTTGAAACTTTGAACTTTCAATAAACCTATTAGTGTGTTGAAACTTTGAACTTTCAATAAACCTATTAGTGTGTTGAAACTTTAACTAACCTTCCAGTACAACAAGAGAGAAGAGCCTTGGCTATTGGCTGCTCTGGAAAACATAAAATCTTCCATTTCTGGAGGTTGTTTTGGTACTAAAAAAATATTAGGTATCAAAATAAAAAAAAATTAAAAACTCAATTCATAATCATCAATTATTTAATGAGATAAGCTATTATTTAATAAAATCCATAACTATTAAAATCAGTAGCATTCTACACACTGTTAAGAATCTAAAAAATGGTTAAAGATTTCTTTAATATTAAAAATATTTGAAGTTTTAATAAAAGAATAAGTGGGTTAGTTCTGAAAGAAACAACCCATTTCAAATTTGTATCCTTAAATAGTCAAACAGAAATGGGTAGGGGTTGTTTATCATTTTGTTCCATTAGCATGTAAACAATGATCTCACCCGCTTTCCTTGTCTGGAAGCTGCTAGATATCATTGGCCCTTCACCTCCACCACCAATACTAGACACGCACAAGTTGTAGTTTGTAAATGCAGTCAAGTTGTCAAACTCCAAAGCCACATACAATTTTTCATACAATTCACGATTGTAATACACTTTTTTGACAAACCTCAGCTACAAATATAAAAAACAACATCTTATTAATTAATAAAATAAACCAAATTTTTGTACAAGACAGATCTAGTATAAGATGGTTTGATCATGTGGCAGAACACAATACTATTCTAACCTTTTTTGTTGATAGAGTTCAAGAAATTATAGAAATAATTTCTTTAAGACAACAAGTAAAAACCTAATGGTCAATGATGACGAATGAAGCAGAGTTCATATGTTCTGTAGCCACCTCAAATTAGAGCTGACTAAACACGTTAGGTACACACCAAGTTATATTAAGCATGAGCCGCAGATCTTTGAAACAACCTTGACCTGTTAATTAGCAGTAGTCAGCTCTACCACTTGACCACCATATTCCTGAAGAAATTATTTGACAAAAGGTATTTACCTCTGTAAGTTCTGGATTCCCCTGGGTTTTATTTAGGAGCACGTGGAACTGAAGAGGCCGTTGTATTGATTCCATGAAAACAACCATGCGCCTCATCACTTCAGACGGTCGAAACACCGCCACAGCTTTGTTGTCTGACACGTCCCACAGGTCCAGTTCTAGAACAGGTGGCCCAGGGACGACTGTGGATAAAACAGATGACATTTTATGTACACCCTCCTTCTGTACAGAGTAAAGTTATATGGGGAGATTCTAGCCTGAACAGATGGCTTGGCCAAATGATGAAATAATGTTTCAGCTATTTTTTCTTTTTCAAACTTTATATTTTCCAACTAAAAATTTAGTTTTTATATTCAGAGTTATAGGAAAATGTAAAACAAATTGATGTCTAGTGTTACCTTTAAAATGAGTCAATACATTAACAAAAATAAAAATTTATTGGAAATTTTGGACTCAATTTTCATGAGAAATTAAAACTTACTCATCTTAATGATGTTAGTAAAATTTCTAAAAATACAGAAAAAGTATAACAACTCACTATAACTAAGTAGGTTAACAGTTCTTTTCCATTCAGCACTTTGTATGGGGTTGTCCAGTGAAGGCCTTGCTACTAAAATAGAAAGTATCACACTGTTGTTGCTGATTCGTGTTTCTCTCTGGCTGTACAGGCAAGTGCACACACGATTGGTGTCTACTCCATTACTTGAACAGTTGGCTGAGCAGATTTCAACAGCATCTCTGTAACAAGAGGGAGTTTAAAGTGATGTATAACTAAAACCCTAAGGAGGGGGTTTAAAGTCATGTATAACTAAAACCCTAGGCAGGAGGTTTAAAGTGATGCATAACTAAAACCCTAGGCAGGGGGTTTAAAGTGATGTATAACTAAAACCTTAAGGGGAAAAGGCCAAAACACAGCCGCTTGTTTCTAGACATGGAAGAAAAAAAAACAGGTAAGTCTTAGTGGAAGAAGATGGTCAAGCAGGCTGAAGCACCCCATTGGCTGTAGGTTTATGATATAAAAAATTCCCTATATATATATTTAAATATAAATATAAATATATATATATATATATATATATATATATATATATATATATATATATATATATATATATATATATATATATATGTATGTATGTATGTATGTATGTATACATACACTTAAAATTTACATATATAAACATATTGTGATACCCTAATGTTATAGTGAAACAAAAAAAAAAAACATCTTTTATATATCTACAACAGAATGGAGGTTTGTGTGATTTGCTCATTTCTCTAACCCTTATCTCAGCAACCTCTAGGAAAAAATTCTAGTTAAAATAGAACTTTTTTTTTTTATTAAATGAAGCAAGGACACATCGCAGTCATGTAAACATGACTTGTTTGAACAAGTGTAGACTGATGATTCAAAGTCAACATCCTAGTGCCAAAGCTTTGTACCCAAGCAATGTCAAGGTATGAGTGCTATTTAAATCTTAAATATGAATCCATGAAAGTTGCTTAGATAAACATACAGCTATAATATTAATAATAATTTAAATTAGAATCTATTCATCTGTAGTTCCTGTTACTCTATTTGATGTGCAGAGATTATTTAAATTTTATAAGAAAATTTTAGTTGGATGTGAAGAAATTTATAACAAAATTTTATTTCTTCCATGTGTTTTAAACTGCTATTGAAAGGAATATTTTAGAACTTTCTTTTTTTTTTTTTACTGTAAGTCAATAAAAATGTAGAAAAAACTGACGATAAACTTACTTTCTGCCTTCTTTTAATGTAACTTTAACTTCATCAGGGGAGATAAAATCAGAAGGTCCAGTCTCAAAAACAATGAAAATGTCCTTATACTCTGTTGTGTAAATGTTTTGAACTCTGGGTTCTGCTGGTTTATCTAGACAAAAGGTTAATAATTTTTTTTTTTAAATGGGTGCTACAACTACTGAGACTTCTTTTTTCTTATTCTTCTTTGTTCTTAATTTTATTGTTGGAAGGGATCCCCTCCAACACAATTAAGTATTCGTGTCAACTGGTTATGCGTCATTGAGGTCATTGACTCCGATTTCAGCCTGCTTTTCTTTTTGGATTTGCTTCCATAGCCTTTGTCCAACCAAGAACAAGGCAGCAGTTGTTTGATTTTGGAGTTGTCTCTCCTAGAAGAGTGGCTGTCCCCAGCTAACAAGCCATGAGCTTTATCGACTTAACCAAGCCCACCCCTTCCCCCCCCCCCCCCCCCATAATTACTGAGACACAGATTGGATATTTTTTTTCATTTTTTAGAGAATAGTAAAAATCAAAAGACTATTTCAAAAAAGGTTTTACAAAACAATTCTTAAAATTTTATTATACATTGAAAAGTAAAGTTTATCTTTTTGGCCTGGCATCCTGGGGTAGATGAAGTAGAGTTCATGTGTGAACTTGGCATATGAAGAGATAGTGTCCTCCCCACTATGTTTAGCCACCTTCACTTTACAACTGAGTCAGGTATCCACTAGAGCTAGATGGACTAGGGACCTCCTTCAAACACAAACTAGAGATCTGAACTCCAGAATTTTGGGTTACCAGTCATGTGCTCTAAAGTCCAACTGTACCATTCCATTACTTAAAAAGAATTTAAGATAATTAATTACCAATCACAAAAACTTTGTTTTCAGTAAGTTGGATTCCGTTTCTCCAACAGATATAGTCATCTGTATTTAGCTTTGTTGCATCCTCCACTTGACAGGTAGCTGAGCAGCCACCTTGGGTCCCATTGCACCCAGTGACGTCATGTTTGGGTGACAGTTGTAGCACGTCATCAGGGGAGGACATGCTACATGTGACGTCATCCAGCAGACAGACCAACTTGAAGGGAGCCCCAGATGGGAAGATCAGGGTGGAGCTGTTGGTGGTGAAATCTACTATCACTATGAAAACAGAACAATGATTTTTAGAAGAGCAAACAGAGTTCATGTAAAAATCACTAATATCTAAAGAGTAGAGATCCCAATGCAGAAAAAAAGAAAGAACAATAATCCTTGAGTTTTAACCAAACAAAAAGTTAATATAAAAACAACTACAGTATCACACCCCCTCCCCCACCATTATGAGACACAGTCCCTCTTGGTTGAAAATTATTCAGAACCTATATGACTATTAGGCTATATCTCAAGGATCATCTATGTCTTGTTATTGCTATTAAAAAATATTTGCCTCCTTAAGGTTTGTAGACCCTTCATTGGCTGCTGCCTAGGCAACATACCCTTTAATTAGCCACTGCTCCTACCCCATCTAAACTAAAAAAAATATCATACAGAAAGTAAAAAAGCTTGGTTAGTAGTATAGGAGTTAACACTGTTGATTATCACTGTCAGTAGCGTAGCGAGGTCGGGTGTTACCCGGTGCGGCACTTAATGGTGTCACCCCCCCCCCCCCCCAGAGGCGCAGCGACCCTTCCCAGGGATAAACTTTCGATTTTAACCCCCCTCAAACCTCAAACTTTCGATTTGCACCCCCCCCCCCCCCCTCAAACTTTCGATTTGCACCCCCCTCAAATTTTTCTCTCTATATATTGCTATTTTTTTGCCTTGGTGCTCCCCCCTAAATGGTGTCACCCGGTGCGGTCCGCACCCCCCCCCCCTCGCTACGCCTCTGATCACTGTATAAATATCTCAATGATCATTTTGCTGATTTAAAGAATTAACCATGTTTCCCTGTCTCCGTTTAACTGTTTTGAAACTTTGATTACAACCATAATTTCAGACAATCGACTCAACTCACCAGCATTTTGGCTTGCTACACAACACCAGGTTACACATAGGATGATGCTAAATCCACATATGGTCTTTGAAGCAAGCTTTAGAGTTAATGCAAGAAACTTCAGCATTTTCATCTCATGAAGCATGGCATCCCCCAGCAATTAGTCTGGCAGTTCTCACCTTCAACACATGTATCATTGGCATCATCATTTCAGATTTCCGTTGGCGCACTTGAGGATGTTTACTCTAGGCCAGTCACCTTGTTCCTGAGAAAAGTTGTCTGTTGAGTCGTACATTTTGTTTGAGGATGTTTACTCTAGGCCAGTCACCCTGTTCCTGAGAAAAGTTGTCTGTTGAGACGTACATTTTGTTTGAACTGTTTTATTAGCCCCACCACCACAGGATACCCCCCACCCCTTCAACCTTTAAAGCACTCCCTCTAATTTTTAAATCTTATTTCAACAAGTCGAATGTTAGATCATGTGACTGGTAACCCGATAGTCTCGAGTTCAGATCGCGGATTTCAAGTCTGTAACACATCTCAGTCCACCCAGCTTTGATAGGTACCTGGCGCGGGTTAAGGAAAGTAAAGGTCGCTGGGCATACAGTCAACACACGATCCCCTACTTCACCTACCCCCATGATTCAAAAGAGAACTATACTTTTTTCTCAGTCCACCCAGCTATGATAGGTACCTGCCCCTAGATTCAAAAGAGAACTTTACTTTTTTTTTATTGCTGACATCCTTCAGCATCAAAGTGCTTTGTTTCATCTTCATATGTTTATTAACAACAACAACACAATAATTATAAAATTAATTAGTCTAGATTGATAATTAGTGTGAGTCATTGAATGGCAGTTCAATGCCTCTAATAACCATTTCTCTTTGCATTTTATCTTTCTGTGATAGTTAGGCAAAATGTACCAAAATGCGTGAATGTATAATCTAATTTGAATCAATTGTTTAAGCCCCATATAGTATAATATAGGCCAGAGGCGTAGCGAGGGGGGGGGGGGGCGGGGGCGGGGGGGGGGGGACATATGTCCCCGGGCGCCGACCTTAGGGGGGGCGCCAAATTGAAAGTTTGAGGGGGGGGTGCAAATGAAAAGTTCGAGGGGGAGTGCAAATCGAAAATTTCGAGGGGGAGTGCAAATCGAAAATTTGCTCCCGAGGGGGGCGCCAAATTGAAAGTATGTCCCCGGGCGCCGGGAAGGGTCGCTACGCCTCTGATATAGGCCTGTAACCTGCCTACACTCAGGCCTACAGGGTTAGAGTGAGCAATAATGAACATCATCATCTTTCCCGTTCGTGTCCAGGAAACGTGGGGCAGATGAAGTAGAGTTCATCTGCTTCAGATGACAGAAACATCTGCATAGGAATGGGTAGTATGGTCAGCACTATGCACAGCCACCTTTATTTTCCTAACGTGAGTTAGATCCCCATCAGAACTGGGTGGACTCAGGGACGTCTACTCTCTTTAAAAAAAACCCGGAATCGAACTAGAGAATCTACCGCTCTTTACAGCTACAATATACACAAAATTTAGGCCTACTTACTTTTTCTTTGAAACCATGCCTGCAAGACTGTCATTTTAAACTGAAGTGTGTAGTATTTTCATCACTAGCTAGACCACATCCGCCTTCGTCTTACAAACACACGTTTGAAAACTAGGTTAAAGTTTCAGGATTTCCCCAACACTTGCCTCTCAAGCGGTAAAAACCGCATCTAAAAATAGAACTATTGTCCGTGGGTTTTAAAAATATGTTTAAAGCACCTGGCTATGCACTTTATTGTAGATCAAGTTCTTGAACAGCGAGTTGTAAAATATGAGGGGACTTCCTTAAACGATGGTTTCCTTAGTGGTTAGGTTTTATGTATCGAAATCGAAACTCCATGAATATAATTATGTTGTACGCGCATAAATACCCCCCCCCCCCCCGAAAAAATTCTACCGCCCCCCCCCCCCCACCCCGGACGAAATGAAATTTATAAAATTGATATAGAAAATATATACTTTTAACAGTATCCGCCCCCCCCCCCCCGAAGAAAGTCTACCGCCCCCCCCCCCCCCGAAAATTTCAAGTGTCCCCCCCCCCAGAGAAAAAAGTCTGGAAGAAACACTGCACTAAGCCTTGATAAAGGGGAAGAGATCGTGAAGGAGTTGACCGGGTGATTAACAAAGGATAATTTCTGGAAACGTCACGCATTACGCAGTATATTCCCCCCCCCCCAACCATATTGCTAGTTGTATCAAAAAGTCAAAAACCCGCCCCTGCATGCAATGCACTATTCCGCCCCGAATTATGAAAAAACTATGAGTAAACTTTGTGAACCAACTCATAGGTCCAGTTGGCTTATCTAGGCCCATCGCACACATCTTGGGGATGTGTGCGATGCAGAGGCGTAGCGAGGGGGGGGGGCGGGGTGCGGACCGCACCGGGTGACACCATTTAAGGGGGTGACATCAAGGCAAAAAATAGCAAAATATTTAGAGAAAAACTTGAGGGGGATGCAAATCAAAAGTTTGAGAGGGGGGGGGGTGCAAATCGAAAATTTGAAAGTTTGTCCCCGCGAAGGGTCGCACCGGGTGACACCCGACCTCGCTACGCCACTGGTGCGATGTGTTGGGAGGAACTCCGGATAAATCTAAGTACACGACCAGTTTCCTACATAGATCTCTCCGGTGTGGGGGTGGGGGAGAGGGAATATATATAATTTGGATATAAATTACCCCCCCCCCCATACGTGATTAATGTTGGCCTACGACCAAGCTAAAATAAATAACAGTTGTCTATTTTAGCTTTTTCTTAATTGAAAACTTAAAAACATTTAAATTGAACCATTGTTGTCTCGTGATGGTATATGGAGAGGGGGGAGGGGGGGGGGGGGGGGGGGGAGGGTTCTTGGGGCACGCTAAGTAGTAAACACGAAACAGGATGTAAATAACAATGTATGTCGCTGACCTAGGCTAACTAATTCTACCGCTGACATAGGTTCAACTAATTATGTAGCTGAATTCACGTGACGTTGATGTATAGCGTCTTTCAGACATCTCTTCGGTGTGGAGGGAAGGGGATGTATACAAGGGGATGTTTACCCCCACCCCTTCCCATGGATAAAATAGAAAAAAAATATCGGCTTTTAAAGATATGGTTCAACTACACCCAGGAGAAAAATACCTGAAAAAAACCTGCGTAGCTTCACTACTATCAAAAGAACATCACGTGACATAGAACCGTACGTCCCCATGTATCATTTTTTACTTTCTCGTATAAACGAAGTATAGAGAAAGTCTTGTAATCGTGCAAAAAAAAAAAATCTAGATTGTTGTAAATCTCGACGTTTTACACCTCCCTGAGTCGGAAAAACATAGTTTAGAAATCTTGTCCGTACGTCTGTGTGTATGTGTGTGTGTAAACACGATAACTTGAGTACCGTTACAGCGGGGTTGATGAAATTTCATATATAAGTATTATATCAAATTTGTAGTTCTGTATCAACTTTTCAGCGATTTCCGGAAACCGGAAGTGGGACTTATTCTACTTTCAATTTTTCAAAAGCCTATAACTTGAGTACTATTTAGGATAGATAAATGGAATTTCACCTGTAGGTAAAAGATCTAATTCTCTACCTTGTGACAAATTTTGAGTTATTTCCGTTGACCAGAAGTAGTAATTTAATTTACGCTATTTCCGATTTCTCAAAAAACTTATGTACTAATAATATTCCGCACTATTATACACATATTGTTTGGCGTTTACTTGGTGCGCAATTATTTTTACTACGAGATTCTATTCTATTTTAAAAAGTTTAAGTAATTAAAAATTTATTAAAAATCATGTCTATATCCCGAGTAGCCATCCCCCGTAGTGTGATATAAGAATATTCGAGAAAGTTTAGGGGAGATCACTCCCGATTTATTTAATTTAGCCTCGTCTTTCATTCATGTTTCCTAAGTTAACCTAGAACATTCAATTGATCTACTTTACATCATCATAGAACCCTTGAGAGACTCAATTATAACAAGAAGTCATGGGTCAACACAGATCATATTTTCTCTTGTTGACATTAAACGAAACGAATTCTTTCTCTCACGCTCTCCAACCATTGACAAATTTTTTTTCTTTCTGTTCTCGCTCTTGTTATTCAAGGAACCCTACCCGTGATTTGAGTCAGGGGCGGAACTACAGTGCCGCCAGACCCCGCAAAGCGGGGGGCCCACGCCATTTAGGGGCCCAGAGCCGACCATAATAAAATTTTTTATAGTTTAAAATAGTTTAAAAAAAGTAAATTTTCTTTCATTTTTGACTTGATGGTTGTTTTGTAAAAAAATTACCGTAGCTGCGGTTGGATTATCTTTATTCTAGAGACACCACCCCACGCTCTTGTATCTTCTTCTTCCCTTTGTTTTTAAACAACTTTGAAAGCCGAGTCTTCTTCCTACAATTAAACTAATCAAAGATAAGCAAATGTTAAAACCATGACTTATTTCCCTTTTTTTAAAAAAAATAGTCAAATAGGGGTGATCATAAGCTCCTTTTAATAGATTTGTACTAAACAAATTAAAAAGCAATTACTTCTCTTAATTATTAATTTTTTATAAGTAATTACTAAAGAATGATATTGTATAAAAAAGAAATATATTGAAATGTATTAAATCAATAATATTTAAAACAGTAATAATATAACTACAAAAAAAAAACATAAAAATAAACATAACACGAGACACCATTACTTATACAAAGCTTTCATGTTTTATATAATTTTGACCGACTAGTTTCTACGAGGGCTTCTATTAAAAATAAATAACACTGGTTTTTCACAAAACACGCTAATGCACTTACACACATGACATGATGTTGAAAATTTATTTAATTGATTTTTTTTCAAATTTCGAACAGGACAGCAACGAGTATCCTATGTTCGTATTATGTTATTGTTATATATTATATATTATGTTATATATATATATATATATATATATATATATATATATATATATATATATATATATATATATATATATATATATATATATATATATATATATGGGGGGGGCCTAAAAAAAATTTTTGCGGGGTGGCCCTTTTTTTCTAGTTCCGCCACTGATTTGAGTTCAGCAAATATTGGAGCTGGTTTATCAAGAAAATTTTCTTTCAATCAGGCTTGCCCGGGTTCGTACTTTGACATCAGTTTCAGCTTTAAAAGCCAACTACTGACAACTGACAACTGGTGTGTGGGCGAGTCAACGGGTGGATTTCTCAGAATCACAGGGGCACTGTGGTGACTCCCGCGTCTTGATGAGTCATTGTGGATGAATACATAGTCGCTGAAGACTGACGTGGAGCTGAGAGTTACTCTGGAAGTCATTGGAGTGGTGCCCTCCCCTGTCTCAGTGCATGAGCGTTAGCCGATAGAATTTTGTCTTGATAAGATAGCAATGTACTGTTGATCAGTTATTAATTTAGTGTTAATCAATCATTGATATAGTGTTGATCAGACCATGATGTAGTGTTGATCAGACCATGATTTAGTGTTGATCAATTCATTTAGAATACACAATAGACCTCCCCCTACTAACACAGACCCACACATGAAGAACCCGTGCAGACACTCTACCCACACACCACATACATCACGACACCCACTCTACTCTACAACACAACACATTAATCACTCATCCACTCTCAGACCCACACACAACATAAGACACTCTTAATGTCACAGGCGTCTCCTACCTCACACCGAACACACGCCACATACATACATACATACACACATACATACACACATACTCACATACATACACACATACACACATATATACACACATACATACACACACTCACAGACATATCCTTCCACTCACAATCTGTCTTAACACAAACATATACCTAGACAATTCCGCTCTCACAACAATCGCCTCCCCCCCTCCCCACACACACACACAAACATACACCTAGACAAATCCGCTCTCACAAAAATCGACCCCCCCCCACATACACACAAACACAGATCTCTCCATATAACTGTTATAACTGATCAATCCATACATATAACACGATGGTGATTAGTTAGGCGTTTGGCTATCAAGTGACGGTTGGTGTTAGGTTTAAATTAAGGTTAATGATCGCCCTCGTGTGAGTCGAGTATATCCGAGTGTATCATCTACACAAATACTTGAGCTTGGCTAAACAAGAGTTTCCGAATGATTGAAGTGATTCAATCCCTTCATTTTTGTGCCAAGTTAATCTGTTTCAATAATTTGTTTAAACCACTTCTACTTAAGATTAACCGAGTTTTACAACAAGCATTTAACAGAGTGAGGAGTCTAAAAGTACACATACAAATGTTGTGACTGTACTCACAATAAAACTCTAGGCAAACAAGACTTGAGTTACTGACCCGTAACAGTTGGTACGAGCCGACCCGCGGCGTATCATATGCCTCTATTTAGTTGTTTTATTTTCTACTTTTCAGTAAATCATAATTTGTGAATTCGACAGTGCCACTGAAAATATTTGCTTTAAAATACTATCAGTTGGTCGTTAAGGACGATAACCCCCCAACCCCTACCCTACCGCCCCCCCCCGTGAAAGCAGCCTCCTCTTAATTACCTCCCCTAAGTTTAAAATAGTTTCAAACTAAATTATCTGCCCCTA